CCCGCGCGGGTCCGGAGCGGAGCTTCTCGGAGAACCGGCAGGTTCCGTGCCCGCCCCAGACACACCGCCAGGAGACAGAAACACCAGGGCTGGAGCTCGTGTTTTCACAGACTCACAGGACTGGAAGGGACCTGGAGAGGTTTGGGTTCGGAGTGGCCGAGCCAGCGGGGGTAACGTGCTAAACAAGAGCTTTTCATTCGGGACGATCCTGAAGCACTATGAACACGATACACGGGGTCCAGCAACACTAATCAACTGATAACCAGGGAGCACATGCAGGCTATCTCCCCCAACTGAAGCTAGAGGGGACGGGGGTGGGTGACAGTGCTGCGGGGCCCAGGACAGCACAATTTCATGCATGCGCCACGGCCACAGCCAACAGGAATTAGCACATGGGTGGGGCCTATTGAAGCGCAGGACCCAGGGCAGCTGCCCCGCTCGCCCTGCTCTATATCCGCCGCCGAGAGGGGAAACACGAAGGATGAAGGGTAGAATTAGGGTTGCCAGGTGTCCGGTATTGGCCCAGTATCTGTGGCCTCTGCCCGGTAAAAAACAACAGAAAATACCAGCGAGATTTAAAGGCTCAGTGACTCTTTTTTTTGCTCAACCAATTTTTTCCCGCCATGTTCGGTATTTTTTGTGGTGGTACCTGGCAACCCTCAGGAGAATTAGCGGGTGGGAATTTGCCCACCACACTCGAGTTAATGGCGTAAAGTGCCATGGATCTTCAATGGCCACAAATGAATAGGGCCTTTGGTCTTCCCGGGATGGCGACCGAGCCCGTAGCTCACCATCCAAACTAGCCCTCTGCCCTCCAGAGACCCACCATCCTCCAACCATTTCCCAGCTAGTCACGCTCTCTTCGGCGCTCACACCCACACGGACCCGCTGTCGTCGGGACAGCTGCCCCGGCCGAAAGGGGCTGCTTGTTACCCATCGCCAGCCCAGACCCTGAGCCTGGAAAGCTCCATACGCTGGGGACCGGAGGCCTTGAGCGGGTCTTACCTGGGCATAGGAACTGGACCGTCACTTCTTGTACCGTGGGCTCAATCTCCAGCGTGAAACTGTCCCAGCCAAAGCGCCCGGACTCTCTCGATCTGCTCTTCGCTAAGGACTCTCCGCCACAGGAACAGGCCCGTGATGTTCCCGCTGAAGGACTCTTTCTCCTTGAAGGCGCCCCCCAGGGAATCCTGGTCTTGTCCAATAATAAAGGTTCCCCGATCGTAGATAGCCTGGCTGGCGAGCGGCCCTGCGGCGCATAGTCCAGCAGCCGAGGGCGCCTTCCTCCGTTGTTTCCTCACGGGAGGGGGCGAAAGGCCGTGACGGCAGGCATGGCGGGGAAGTTGGCCAGCACCTTCACGTACTTTGTGTCCGTTTTCTTTCCGAACACCAGGACTGGGGCCGTGTGAATTCCTGCCAAGAAAACATTCAAAACTGGACCGAGTCCCGCCCCTCTCTCTGGCCCACGTTTCTTTTACTTCCTCCCCAACTGCATGAACAAGCCCTGATCCCGGCGCACTACAAGGCCATAAATACGGGGAAGTTGGCCAGCACCTTCACGTACTTTGTGTCCGTTTTCTTTCCGAACACCAGGACTGGGGCCGTGTGAATTCCTGCCAAGAAAACATTCAAAACTGGACCGAGTCCCGCCCCTCTCTCTGGCCCACGTTTCTTTTACTTCCTCCCCAACTGCATGAACAAGCCCTGATCCCGGCGCACTACAAGGCCATAAATACGCAGGTTCGTGGCTACTTCTACAGGGGGTGGGGTGCTTGCTGCCCTGATGCCTTGAGAGGGAAGGGGAGTTTGATGCAATTGCCACGTCCAGCAACCAGGATGGTAAATCACGAACTCGGGATTAAGTGCTCCTGGCCAACGGCCCATCTTCTGGAGGCAGAGCCTAGAGAAGGCCTCCTGGATCACCTGCCCCACGCTCAGCCCAGCCGTGTCACATGACTACCCGCTGCCACATCGCTACAGCCTGCGCCCCGGTCACATTACTTATAGATTACCTCTGCAGAACATGGCCAGCGGGGGGTCTGGAGACTTGCTGCGTCCCCCCAGGGCCAAAATCCCTATCCAAAAGTCTCTGCTGCCAGGATACTGACAAAAAACTAGATACCGTTAAGGCAGCTGATGTGCCACTCCATGGCCTGTCTTGTACTTAGACTGTGAGCTCCCGGGGGCAGCTCCCAGTGGCCCCTCCACACAGCCCCTTGCCCAGTGCAGTTCTGGCCCACCTAGGCCCTGCCAATGCAACTCACAACACACATTTCCCCTGGCTAAGAACTTCCCCGCACAATCTCCAGGCACATCTGTTTTGCAAAGGAAGGATCCCTGCTCAGGCCCCCCCAGCCTCTCTCTTTCTCACGTCTCTGTTTGGGTTTACGCAGGAACGCCTCCCTCTCGCCTAGCCAGACCGCGCCGGGCACTCCGCGGGCGCGCAGCAGTTTGCGGAGGGAAGCCAGCCCGCCGTCCCCGGGCGCCATGAGCAGCTGCGCAAAGCGTTGCTCACAGTGCTTGCTTGCATGCCACCAGTCCAAGGGGACGTCCGCGAACTCGTACACCTCTCCCGCGGCCGCAACGGTGGCCGGGGCAGCACCAGCATCTGAAAGGACATGTGCCGGTTTGCAGGACGTACCAGGGCGGTTCCCTCATCCTCTCCCTGTCGTCGTCTGAGGCAGGCGGAGCAACGGTGGCCGGGGCAGCACCAGCATCTGAAAGGACATGTGCCGGTTTGCAGGACGTACCAGGGCGGTTCCCTCATCCTCTCCCTGTCGTCGTCTGAGGCAGGCGGACTTCACGCCAACAGCCTCATTAATACGAATGGCACGCACACACCCACTCGCGCCACCGGGGGGCAGTCTCACACGGCAGAGCAGCCGCTCACCGATAAACGTGGGTGAGACAGCCCTGGGACAATCCAAGGCCGACTCTCTCCCCCGCAGTGTGAAGGGACAGACTTTAGCAGGATGCCTTGGGCCTAGGATGAGGGACATAGAGAGCTGCCCTTCAGCGTGTGTGCTTGGAAGTGTTGGCTTCCCCCACGTCCAGCCCTTGCCTCCTATGTGGCCATATGAAACACCTGAACCAACATCAGGACACAACAAATGCACTGCCGTACCCCGGAGGCCGACACCTTTCAGACTTTTTATTCACACTCGCTGAAGGACAGAGCTTGGGGCCCATTCTTCCACTCCCCCACTTTCCACACCTGCAATTTCCACTCATAAAATTGCTCCCACGTGGTCTACACCCACAAATGCATCAGGGGCACAAACATGAGGGTTACGTCTAGACTGGCATGATTTTCCGCAAATGCTTTTAACAGAAAAGTTTTTCCGTTAAAAGCATTTGCAGAAAAGAGCTTCTAGATTGGCACGGACACTTTTCCGCAAAAGCACTTTTTGCAGAAAAGCGTCCGTGCCAATCTAGACGCGGTTTTACGCAAGAAAGCCCCGATCGCCATTTTTGCGCAGAACAATACCGCGGTGTCTACACTGGCCTTCTTGCGTGAAAGCATTTGCACAAGAGGGCTTTTGCCCGCACGGGAGCAGCAGAGCATTTCCGCAAGAACACGGACAATCTTACATGAGATCGGCAGTGTTCTTGCACAAATTCAAGTGGCCAGTGTAGACAACTGGAAAGTTTTTCCGCAAAAGCAGCTGCTTTTTCAGGAAAAACT